TATTAAAAATAAGTATTTTATTTTATTATCTTATTATTTAAGACCATTTAGCTATATCTTAAATATTACTATAGGGATATTTTAACTTTTTAATATATAAACCTTAAAAGATATATTAAACTATTTTTAGTTAAGTATAGAGCTCATTGGTGAGATCATTAAGTGTTAAGCCAGACTTAGCGATATCTCCAGCATCAACCAAGAAATCAAGAGGCATCTCGACGAGTGTACCACGGATACGCGACAGCCACTCCCTGACCTCCCTCACACCACCAGGGAACTCGGATTTCACAATGTGACCATACTCAACCTTGCCCTTCTTAAGCTCCGCCTTGACATCTTGGTCCTTCTTACCAGGGATGATGAAGTACTGAGAGAAGAAAGTATCGTACTCCTTCCAGGTTCTAACTCTATTGGTGGGAACAGGGTGGAATGCCCGATCAAATGTCTCGGTGTTGACACGTGCGGTGCTGGTCCAGAGACGTTGGAAATCTGGGCTGAGCGGATCGACGACGAGATGATCGGCTGGAGAACCCCAGTCGTAATCGTTGGGGTCTCGGTCGACGGGTGTCCAGTTTCGATTTGGCTGGTCCCATCGTTGATCAGGAACAAGACCGAGATGCTTGCGGAAGAGGAAGCGGCGCAGAGAAGCGGCAAAGCGGGAGGCCGTGTAGGGACGTCCGTTCATGTATGACTCTACAGGCGTAGGGTCTTCAATGACGACTGCGATCTCGGAATCGTGATCGCCGAGTTGCGAACGGTCGTTCAAGTTGGCTGAACCGCAGATAACAAGGCGGTCGTCGACGATGAGAAGCTTGCTGTGAATATACAACTCCTCGGAAACGAAAGCGTTAATCTCGTCTTCAGGATTGCCATCCCAGCGTAGATCAGTGACTCTAGGTCCTTTGTCCATGTAACAGGAGCTGATAGTGTCGAGAGTGTTGTCGCCAACTTTGCTAGCCCCCTGTTGGTATCTCTGGTATGAATCTGCGCCACCTCCCTGGGAGTGACCCCCCTGGGAGTACCCTCCTTGCTCTTGTCGCTGCGGTCGGTCATCATATCTTGATTCAGAGTGGCTCGAGTAACGGTGTTCCTGTCGGCTGTCATATCGGGAAGAGCTTGAGTGTTCACCATACTGTGGACGATCATCGCGGCGGGAGCCGTAGCTATCAGAATCCTGTCTCCCACTGTAACGTGGGTCAGCTTGAGGATGCTCATAGGGATTACGCTCAGGTCGTCCGTATCCTGCATCTGGCCGCCCCCCATAGTCGCCTCGACCGCCGTAACTTTGCTGCGAGGAACCGCGGTGGTCATCATCGCGTCCGTATCCCTGTTGAGAATATCCTTGGGGCCTAGACTCGAATCGAGGATCGGCTCTAGGGTGGGCATAGGGATCTCTCGCTGGTCGACGCTCGTACTTGTCGCCTCGACGGTCATCGTCGCTATCACTGTCACGTCGTCTCCCGTGGCTACCACCTCGGCGGTCATCATCACTGTCGCTATCGCGTCTGTATTTGGACCCAGAGTGACCTCCACGGTAGTCATCGTCCTGGCGTCTGCTGTCTGGTCGGGAGTTGTAGCCCCTCTGAGACTCCTGCCGGTAATCGTCTCGCTGAGACCGGTCCCCATAACCTCGGCTTTCATAGTTGTCACCTCCTCGTGAGCCTGAGAAGTCGCCTCGACTCTGTTGGTACTGATCACGTGCTGCCCTTCCAGATCCCTCATCTGGGTAACCGCCTAACTCACGGTCTCTCTCCTTTCGAGCCTCTTCGTATGACACACCAGTTCGGGCTTCCGCATCAGCCATTGTCTTAGAAGTATTGATTCGATCGAAATTTCGGAGGTTGTAGAATCCAATGTACCTGCTTGTATCTCGGATGCCTGCCTTCTGAAGCTTCTCGATGATACTATACCCACCACGCGAGATCGAGTCATATTGAAACTCCATGATGGCTCTGGTTCCCAGAGCTCCCTCATCCTGTAAGTCTCCTGCAAAGGCCGGGACTGCTGGCATCAAAACCCAGACATGAAAGGGTGTTCCTTCATGGTCAGCGCGGATAATTCGTTCTACCAACGCAGCACCGATTTTGTTCTTAACAACTCGTTGCTTATCATCGGTAGCGGTGATGAAGAACTGATTCGTTAGTAAATACTTGTAAAACTAAAGGAGACTAGACGTATACTTACTTGGTTCTCAATGTAAACGTAGAACCTAGAGTTCTTGATGGCGTCGATGTATGCGTTCTGGATCGAACGCTCAAGAGGGTGACCAGACGACCACTCAGCGCAGCTGTGCCGTATTAGTAAGTTTTATACACGTAAAACCCATAGAATAGGGTAGAGGCAAGTAACCTCACCTTCGAATCATCTGGATGTGAGGCATGTCACCACGACCTTCAGATCTGTGCCCACGGTCACGATGAGGGTCATCATGTTCCCCAAACGATCTCAGTCTATCCATACCACGGCTAAACTGCTGTGTTAAGCCACCCAAGTAATCATCCTCGCCTCTAGATCGTCTATCTCCAGAACCGGAGGTGTCTCGTGGGGGCAGCTCGAGTTTGTGATACTTGCCAGGGTTCTTCTCCTTGTATTTATCTTTAAAGATGAAGTTCCTATGTATGGTTAGGGGCCATATAGACGAATTATAAGTTGTGGCAGCTTACCATCGGTCGATAAAGTGATTGACCATGTCACCAGTGATAGGTCCGTTCATGCTCAGAGCAACATCTGACCAACCCATTCTCGAGCTCTTAGTTCGGTCGACTAGAACCAATCAGTTACGGTTTCCTTAAGAAATACTCCGATTAAAGGGATGACTTACGCTTGTTTTGATCCCAGTCCTTAACATCAGCGAAGTCGTAGACTCTGCGAAAACATGTTAGTATGACTCTCAACTTTATTTCGAAAATAAGACATACCTAGCATTGTTGTAGTCTTGTCCTGGGAAGATAATGGCATCTAAGTTACCGGGATGAGCGTCGGCGATGGGGTGACCTAGTTGAGATGGTGAGTGACAAGTTCCCCTATATAGCACACAAACTTACTGTTTGTGTCCCATCTTCCAAAGCCTAAAGGTTTTCAAATTAGCATTTCTTCTTTTAAGTAAGCCAGGAAAGCCCATACACATATCCAGTCCTCCCATAAACCCAATCTTGCCGTTGTCAATGACGAGGAGCTTCTCATGGTGCGCCCAGTACAGAACAACACCATCAGCAGTACCATAGACAGCCTTGATAGCATCTCCAGATGCTTTGGCAAGATCGAAGTTAGTTAAGGCCTTAATAGACTTGCCCAATTCCCTCTGCAGGTCGTAACCCGTAGGCAAGTGGTCAGGATGCCGGAAGACATGAATATTCTTGTGCAGCGCTTCAAGAGCAGTCCTCGTATGGCTGCTATTGAGGGTCAAAGCTGCCTCGACCTCCTTATACACGATGATGTAAACCTGGACGCCGCGCTGTGCGGCCTGTTGGAGCATTCGATCCAGACGGTATTGTTCGTTCTTAGCAGGGGGGCGGCGAAGATACAACTCAGGGCTCAACCACCAATCAAGAATGTAAATACTTTCCTGCGCCTCTGAAATGGACATGTCAGGTAATTATCGAAGAAAAACTATGGGTTGCTGTGACTTACGCTCAAGGGCCTGGGAGACGGCCCAGAAGTATGAAGCACCATCGACGTACCACTTAACGTTGCCTTTTGATTCTGAGGCAAATGAGTGATATCGGTTCACTGCCTGCTGTCTTTGGAGATATTGTGCAGCAGCATCATGAGAGTGGTCATCGTCGTGAGATTGCTTTCCACCTTGTGGGCGACCATCGCTTGGTGGTCGGTCATAGCCTCCCTGGGATGGGCCTTGGGAACCATAGCCCTGGTTGCCGTGACCTTGAGAGTCATAGCCTTGGCTTCCATGGCCCTGGCTTCCGTATCCCTGGTTGTCGTGGCCTTGGTTACCATATCCTTGGGGCTGCCCGTAGCCCTGGGACTGTCCGTAGCTCTGAGACTGCCCATAAACCTGAGATTGCCCATAGCTCTGAGGAGGACCTTGGTTGCCGTAGCCTGAGTCTCCATAGCCCTGGTTGCCATGACCTTGAGACTGTCCATAACCCTGGGACTGCCCATAGTCTTGAGAAGGACCTTGATTGCCATATCCCTGATTTCCATAGCCTTGGCTGCCATGGCCTTGAGATTGACCATAACCTTGACTTCCGTACTGGCTTTGTCCTTGAGACTGACTATAGCCGTAATCTTGTCCATGGGACTGCTGACTCTGTCCGCTGTGAGATTGTGATTGAGAGCCATGCTTATCGTCATCATCCTTCTTGTTCAAAACGCTCTCGACGTGCTCGCCGACCTTCTTAAGGAAATCCATGTCGGACGACGAGGATGAGGACTAATACCTCAACGAGTCAAGGTCTTGGCGGTGAGGCTCAAGCGGAAGATGTATAAAGATTTTCAAAATAGTTCTATGAGTGATATATGTCAAGAATAAACCAACGTAGCCAAGAAGTAGTAGATTTCAAGTAAGAATCTGAGTTGTTTTTACTCACACGACAGTGATAAGCTGACGGATTGTAAGAAGACAGCTGAGCTTGGAAGCTCAAGTGGGGAGCTGATGACGCCGATGATGGCCATGGAATGCGGAGAGCCAATGAATGAGAGATGCCGTAAATAGGTACATCATCAGGGTTGCGTTATCAATTAAATGCTCTAGACAAATAGGGAAGCTTCGTATTTTCATTGGAACATTCATCAAGTTGCGGGGTTGGACATAAACAGACAAGACACTCACTCAGAGAATCAGCAACGACACAACTAACAACAAGCAAACGTGAATCACAGAGCATTTATACAGTGACCATCACTCTCGTTTCATGTCTTTTCAAGCTGATTCACGCTAAACAGCATCCTACTGAACTGACAGCTTTGACTGCCGAAACCAAACCCCGGTAAAAGACTCTAATGCAGGGCAACCCATTGGGACAAGTAACTAAAAATCTACCGAACTCGCATGTCCAGCTGTATAAGGGCTCGTGTGAACTGCTGCTTAAACCCGATGAAACCTCTTGGCCTGCAACAACTCATCCAAAGATGAATAGCCGTGATAGCCTGTTATGCTTCCTTGTGTGAGATACTATAACTGGTATAAGCTCAGTCAACTGATTATGATATCAACGCTGATATGGATCACTCAGCCTGTTTTCGGCAACCGAGATTAACAATGTGATTGTCCTGGATTAGCTACAGGTGTCCATGACTCGGTGTTTGAACACCGAAGGATGAGCTGATAGAGTGGACTTTGTCACGATGTTATCCACGGACCAGTACGAAGGAGTTGCAAGGAATGTAGTGGACAGACAGTACGAAGAGTTCCCGTTCTCCATCCGTCCCGTCCCGTCTCGTTTCATCAACCCATCCATGAATTCACTAGCTTTCAGGCCTCAACTCTTAGTTAGCCTTGATCGTCGGTCAACTCAACCAGTTTTGAAGCCACCAGCAAAGGCAAAAGCAATTCTCAACTGCCAGATTTGTATATGCGCCATTTTATTCCGACAATCTGTGGCAACCGTGGCGTGCAACCTCTTCACGATTGCTTCCGCAGAGAGTGAAAGGATTCGATCCAATCCAGAGTTGTTCTGAGGGTGTAAAAGAGCCAACTTGGCTGGCTAACTAAGTCGACCGGGGGGGTTGATTTGATGGGTTGCGGAGCCGTCAACTTATACGCTAAAATCCACTGGACACGCAGCCCAGGCAACTTGCCGTACCTTCAGGGCTGCTGCAATTACCCGCCGGGACGGTAACTACAGGGCAACTCCACTGATGGAGGGGACCATCTCAGGAACTGGAAGCTGGAAAACTTCCATCTTTGCTAGGGCACCTTGTAACCCAAACCTTGCATCCACGAGCACAGCGTTTACCTTAGCTTGCAGTGGCTGCAGGGGAGAAGGCGACTTTTTTTCTGGTTCACTGAATCACACTCACACGGACGGAGAGACCTCATCTTAAATACTGTAGTAACCTAACCTCTAAGGAGAGGCAAGGCAGGTAATCAGTCACGTTTTGATGCTCAGGTCTTTTTTACATCCATGACCATTTAACTCCCTGAGCCGAAATTCTCCGGCTTGTTTTTCTCAACACTTTGTCTTTACAATTCCTACATTTTCTAACCTTCAACTGCTTACTTGAGAGCCCATCAGCCCAAGTTTAAAATCTTCAAGTAAGTCTACTACTACTACTAGCTTGCACCGGGTTCGAGCTCCTAAATCGGATCACCCATAAGTTATCTCCCCTCATCGGGTTGCCTAACAAGTCAAGCCTTGTACAGAATTGCTACGCCAGCGTTGACCGGTATTTCACTGATCAATTCAAATATCCATTGCGGTTGGATACATGGTCTCCAATCCTGCAGATGCTTATATGACAAGGAAGCATTGTACACTGAGACACAACTTACTCTCTTGGAACCACTTAAACTCAAGACTCTCGACATAAGCTCTTCCAATCAACAAGATATTCTCAACATGACAGCTTCAGGAACAGTGGCCCTCTTCTCGCCAGGGCAGCATGGGCACCTGATACCCTATCTTGCAGCCATTCATGCCTCCTGTATCACTCACGACCGAACTATCGCAGAATTCCTCCCGCCCCTATCTCACGAGAAACTTCTTGCTTGGTGGAAAGAGCGAATTGCAGAGGTGGCAGACGGAAAACGGCTCATATTCATTCTCCTGAACGACTGCGAACCCGGAGCTCGGCCGAACGGTTCCGATGTGGTGGGCGTTGTCATGCTAAATATGCCCTCTTCAGAAACTGGCCCATTCCGCGGTGTCGTTGAAAAGCTTCTCGTCCATAAAGCTTTTCGCGGTCGAGGTGGTGCCAGAACTTTGATTTCTGCCCTCGAAGCTGAAGCGACCAAGCGTGGTCGAACTATTCTGGTAAGTTCAATGTCCATCGTAACTATACTAACGTTAGCTCTTCGGCATGTAAGTCCCGATAACTAACAACTGCTTAGCTTCTCGACACAGAGACCGGAAGCCCAGCAGAAGAGGTGTATAAAAAGTTTGGTTATGTCGAGCTTGGCCAGATCCCAAAATATGGTCTAAGTCCAAATGGAGAACTCAAGGGCGGTACCTTCTTTTGGAAACATCTAACGTTGCAGTCCTGAGGAGCTAGCTATCATGGAGGGGTCAAGTGTATCGAGCTCCTGTCATTGACAAGGATCGACTATTCAAAAGTGCTGTAGAAAATTCCCTTCATTGGAGGAAAACGAGGCGACTCGATATTGCTGTTCTTATCATGGACTATGGCTGGCGGGGTGCTTCGGTTTGTTTTCTAGATATCCATCCAAGATATGAACATTTCACGACAAAATTGGCATTGTACATGCCTGTATAATTGGAAAAATCTCATACAAAAAAGAAACCGCTTTGATTGCTTTCCACACTACACGGAAGATCCACGATACTATTACAACTCCCAAAAAAACGCCATCACCCAAGGTCACTTTTAGATGCCATCTACTCATCGTCATCGAGCTCTTCAACTCTTGGGGCCTCGTAGTGCCGTTGCTGCACATCGCCAGTCTTGACCTGAGTATCCGTACCAGTTGTAGTCGCACTCGTGTTAACTTGACCAGTGGCGGCTGCGAAGGCGGGGTTGGGGGTGGTTCCAGGGGCAGCAGACTTCTTCTTTTTCTTCTTCTTCTCGGTCTGTATGCATATTAGTAATTTGTTTCATTCTCTCGTAGCATAGTCAACTGACCTCGTGCCAAGCCCAAACGGGTCTGAAACTGTCCATGAAAGAAACGTCCTCCCACAAGTTGGGGAATAGCCATAGGCCAGGTGGTGTAGTGAAGTAGGTGATACAGAACAGGATAACACGAAAGATGGCCATCAAAAAGAACAGTCCGAGCAGACCAAGGAGTCCCCAACTGAGGTAGTAGACACCCTGGCGCAACACCAGAGGCCACAGAGGGTACAAGACGATAGCGAAGATAGCAAGGAGTGCAAGACCAGCGTAGATCTTGCGCTTGAGCTGGCTACCTTCCCACAGCCAGCAGTAGTACATATCGTCCTTTGCCTCTTGTTGCTGCTCAATCTTGACAGTCCACTGTCCTTTAACACGTTTGGGCTTCTTTCCGTTAGGGCCTGCCTGTGGCTCGACCTTGGAAACTCGGAGGGCAAGCATGCTCAGGGGTAGCAGCTTGAAGGTGTTCTCGAGAGAAGCTCGGTCGGTGATTTCTGGGAGAAGAGGGTTCTTCTTGCGGGCTTTCTCATATGCGGGGGACTGAAGAGCTCGGAGGGCTCGCTTGACTAGATTGTGTCAGCTTCTGGCGTGGAAGATATTGGTGCCATGTGGCCTACCTCGAAACATGTCCTTTCGCTCGCCGTTCAGAATCACAGTTCTGGGCTTGAGATCCTGGCCTCGGAGGAACGAGGCAAGAGCAATAGCCTTGGGGTTGGGGGGTCCCGGCGTAATAGGCTGGGCGCGACCCTGCTGGGGAGGTTGACCGTGATCATGAGAATGACCGTTGTGATCGTGGTCGTGATCATGACCTTGCTGTTGCTGTTGTGCGCGCATTCTCATTTGCTCTTGCGCTTGTCTCTTGATATGCTCGATAAATTCAGGGACAGTCATGCCGTTCTTCTCAGCATCAATGGCGAGTTGGCGCTGCATTGCCTGGATCTGCTCGGGTGTAGGTCGCTGCCCAGGTTGCGGCATGGGAATCTGCCCAGGCTGGGGGCCTGGCTGGGGAGGTTGCTCAGACATATTTTACTGCAAAAGTCAATGTAAAAAAGAGTGTAGAGAAAAAGTTTATTGGGTTAAAGAATCGGATGAGAGAGACAGAAGCGCACGAAGGCGAAGTAAAAGATGTGGACTTGACAGGTTTAAGAAAGAGCGAACATGGTGTTGCTGCCACTTGGACCATGCCGTGCCAATCATGTCATAGCTCGCCCAGAGACAACGGTGTTCACTTCCTTCCATCACTGAGCTCCAGAATTTCCGGGGCGGATTGTTGATTGCCCGACCTCCGGCATATCTCCACGTGACAGCTAAGCCAGTGTGAGATTGAGGTGTGAATGAGCCTTGAAGCTGTAAATCATTAGAACTACTTTGTTTGAGAGCTTCCAGCCAGCATCATGGGTGATCGATTAACACAACTACAAGATGCTGTAGATCAGGTACGACCAGAGTATATCTCATAAATATCTTCCGCTTATAAATTCTACAGCTGGCCACACAGTTCGTTGCGTGCCTTCACTATGTCAACAAGCGCCATGACCTTGAAACACTTGGTCCTAATGACAAGGTTCGCGAAGTGAAAGATGCTCCAAAAGAAGGCATGTCCAAACTCATAACACATTTGAAGGGAAACATGCTAACTTTCCTCAGTTGATTCACTTCCTCCAGATGAGTTTCGAGCGGGTATGGTAGAGTTGTCACAGGATCTTATTGTCAAAGAGCAGCAAATCGAGGTCCTCATCTCATCTCTCCCCGGCTTAGACAACAGTGAGATGGATCAGGAGAGATACATCAAAGAGCTGGAGGAGGATTTGAAGATTGCTGAAGCCCAACGCCAAGAAGCAATCAAGGAGAAAGATCAGATTTTGTCTGAGCTTGACAGTGTTATTCGCAGCATACGACGACCATAATTACGGGTTCGGTCTGTTTTTGACACGTTTATTGATGCGTAGCGAGGAGTTCAGGGTACGAATAACCAAATGGAAGGCTGACAGCCCATGCAAACGAGCATTTTATTATTTTTGTTGAAAAACCATAATACAAAGGTATCTCAGCCTAGTGAGCGCCTTGAACGCCACCGTCTAAAAATTCTATCATATGCCCTATAATCCCCTCTATTTCGTAACCAACCTCAAATGTCATAATCTATGCCTTGTTTGAAGTAGATTTGAAGAACTGCGGGTAGACATTCCGTAGCTCTCGCAGATGCTGGATTTGGTATTGCGAAGCAGGGGTTTTGGGAGCTGGTACTCCCTCCTCAACGAGATGAGCTGCTGTCCAACCAAATTTCTTGGCTTCTGTGCAGTTCAAGGCAGAATCATCTAGAAGGGGTTAGATGGAGTTATGGGTAACAGCGTGGGGGAACTTACCAACAAAGTAACAGTCCTCCACACGCTCGACGCCTGCCTCGCGCATGGCCTTCTCGTACATGCGGGGATCTGGCTTGCAGAGTAATGGTTGTTCCGCATAGTTGCAGTATGTGAGACCATCGAAGATGTCCTCGATGCCCAAGAGGCGAACAACTCTCTTCCCGTGGTTCACATAGGCGTTGGTGAAAAGCCACACAGTAACCTTGGACTTGTCGATATCCTCTAGGAGTTCGCGTAGCTCAGGGTTGGGCTTGATGATTCCTTCGAGGGGTAAAGCATCGTCCACTTTGGCGTTGTAATCCAGAGGATCGATTTGGTGATGGCGCACCAACCCCTCAATGGCGAGGCCGTAGTTGGTGTAATACTCTTTGTGCAGTTTCACTGCCTCATCCCAAGGAATCTCCAGGTGTTTGGAGAAGTACTCATCGATGAGTTTGGCCATTATGTCATGGACTTTTGCGCCTTCATTCACTGTTAGTTTTAAGTAATCATAAACGCTAATTTCAGTCTTAGCTTACTCCGCGGATAGAGGCAGTTGTCAATATCGCTGCCGCACAGTTAGCTCAAAGCCTATAAGAGGTGAATTTTCGAAAAGACTAACAAGAATAGGACCGGCTTTCCCGGGTTCATGTCCTGAGTACTGCCCATATTGAATTTGGTATGAGTCTGAATATTGAGGCTGGGGTTGTGGTTGGCAAGGTGAGGATAGCGAGGTGTAAGATTTGAGTTGAGCAATAAAGAGGAGGCAACTAAAGGTTTTGAGAAGCGCTTCAATGATGATATTGCGGTGACACGTGGTCGTAATTGGTACATTGAATGGCTATGAGGAGGAGAGAGACAGTTTAAATAGAATTTTATAGGGAATGGCGATCTGGGCTAAAAACGCAAGGCTAGTAAGTAATCAATCGCTTCTTTGGATCAACTCTGCAGTATCCGTAGGTCATCGTCGGTATCCGTCCGTTGGTGCGCTACGTTTCACCCAATGACTCTTGCGGTGTGGCTGAATAATGAGCAAAGTTCGGCGCGGATCGTCTTCCGGTCTCCGATCGCGGGACTGTCATTCTGTCACAAGTTGCTTTTGGTAACATATGAGTTGTTGTTGAGCAAACATTCGAGGAATGTCATGGAAGACAACCCCTTTGTTTGATTGAATCTCCATTTAAAAACACGTGTGAATAGGTCATAGGACTTCGACTCCTAGATCATCATGGCATAAAGCTTCATGGGCTTAAAGGAGGCTGTCGAGCCACGCGTAATACTACAGTCGTTTACATGATCCATGCTTACAGGGAGTTCATCATGAGCCTCATGGTTCGGACACTAAATGATAGGACAAGACGATAAATCCAGGGCCTTTAGACTAGTCGAACTTCCTGAAAGCATGGATATTAGTCTTTGTTATCTTCAAGGATCGAATTTGTATGGCCACAAGTGTCGTGTTCTTGATATTGAGGCTCAATGGACAGTCCGTGTAAGAGCTATGACACTAACACATGACATTCAACCCAATGCCGTCTAAGTCAAAGTTGTAATAGGTTTAATGAAACAATTCCAGATGATTATTTAGTTGCAGAGCGAATACAAAAGAAATTTCAATTGTTGATAATTAATTTGGTTTCATGCTACTATTTTCATCTGATCAGCAGTTCACCAGTTAAGGCATGGATCTCAAGACCCTGTAGTGAAAGAATTCTGCCGCTTACACCGCCTAAATTGTTTGCCTTTCGCGTCCACCCGAGTCGAGGCGCCAGTGGCTCTAAAAACCACTCCATTAATTGCACAGACCTCCAACATCAGAGCTTCCATTTCTTGAACAACAGCCAAAACAGCGCATTTACATTTTGATCAGTAGTATCTCTTTGGTCCGCGTCATATCGCGTCAAGAGTGGCGTTGTCGGTCGGGCTTATTACCCAACACTTTCGTTGAGCTAACTTGGACTTGGTCCTATTGCTTGCTTGCTCCCTTTTTTTATTTTAATCTGGTGTCACCTGGTGACGCGACGTGTACATTTCACTCGCCGCCATCATGGCACAAGAGATTGCTGTTCAGGGACCTCTTGCTAGTAGGAATGAGCTTGCTGGTCTTGCTGAAAAGGAGCGTCATCAGATCGAGCAGTATGAGAAGATTGTACGCTTCTCAACAACTGTTCTCTCTGGTAAACATCCGACTATCAAGGTCCCCTCTAACTTTATCCCTTCCGCACAAACTTCCATCCGTCCGATAGATATTTCCACGCAAGATGGAACGCCGTGTCATCAGGCAGACGCTCAACGGCAAACCATCGCGAACGAAAAGCAAGCAGATGTGTCTGCTACCAACAACAGCAAGCCATACGGGACAGGATCTACTGAGATCAACCCCATCTTCCTAGAGAAATCTGAGGATTTGGTCAAAGCAGAGTTGAAGTTGCAGAGACAGAGGCTGGAACGTGCTTTGAGAGACGAAGTTGATCAGAGACGAGTAACTGCTAAGAGCGTGGCGCAAGGGGAGCCTATCGTCGAATTCGATCTTAACGAGGTCTTGACGAAAGCCTTGACGCTTGTGGAAAGCAATGCTGATCCCGACACTACTGCTGCTGATGCTACTAACATTGACAATGCAAGTGATTCCTTCGATGACAACACTTTCTACTCGTCGCAGCACAACACTCCATCGTCCGTTTTGACTTCCCGAGTCCGTAACGAGTCCGAAGAGGCACAAGTACCCGTCGCGGAGTCGCAACCAAAGATAAATAGCCAAAACGCTCCTATTTCGCGACAACGTCTGATTGGTTTTGAGCAAGTCCCTCCGGAACCGTACGCACCGAGCCACACTAGACCTCAAGAAGCCTGCGCAAATCCAGACCCTTTTGTCGGTTCGTTGAGCGTTAACAGCACTTCACGACCTGTTCAGGTCCCTGGCCTTGCTACTTATAATGCAGACAAGACAGCACCTAGACAGGATAGAAGCGCCAGACAAAGTCCCAGTAATGGGGAGAGCGATAGGCGTAGAGTTGATCACGGACCAGCCTCTCGACAGCCTCCCCGTGAACACTATATTGACAGCCGTCCCCCTTCTCCTCTGATCAGAGCACATGAGAGATCGCCTCAGAATGCGCAGACTTCGGCATTAATGAATACTAGGCCACGACCTCAGGCTGCCGAAGCGACATCAACTTCGTCCACTGGTACTCCCGCTCAAGTTGCTGCTCTCAGGAACGAGCCAGTCGCTGTCACTAGTCCTGAAAGCTCGCCTCAAGGCGGCGCATCGGATAGGCGGAAAGCAAAGAAGAAGAAGAGAAAGGCTGACAGGCAAGCGCCCGAGACTGAACCAACGCCTTATATCAAGGCTGAACCTAGATCTCCTTCCCCTATGAATGCCCCTTCTTATATTCGTCCCAATAAACGTCAAAGGTACGCTCAGCAACAACCAGATGAACCTGTCTACGAAGAAGTTCGTTTCGAGCCTCACCCTGGCCTCTATCCTCCAGAACCTGTGCCTGTGCATAACCGTCAAGAGCGAGATGATCGAGTGCCGATAGGCTATGACACAGTAGGCTTTTCATCACAACGTGCAGCGAGCACCACTGTTCCTGGAACTGCTGTCTATAGGAGAGAATACGCCGATGATCGATACGTTTCCGGTGGACCGTATCCTATTGAACAGCCCCCACATGTTCCCCCTCCTCACCAGAGGCTGTCGATGGGGGGAACAGCAAGCTCCCAAGTTCGACCTAACGACGGTTATCCGCGCCCATCGTGGCCCTATGCGGGAGCACATGAAGCGTCACCTACAGGCTTAAGAACAGAAGGCGGTGTGTTTCTGGCACCTCAAAGGCCGCCGCCAACTCGAATTATCGTAGATGCTTATGGACGTGAGTATATTGAGCCACCACGTTCGACGATCATCCGGCACTCCGCAGCTTCTCCCGCTCGATCCGGCGAACCCGAGGTCTTTTATGAACGAGCTCCGGTTCGGAGGCCCCAAGCGATGGAGGCGTACGAAGAAGGAGGGGCAGTCTACAGGAGACGTTCACCATCGTATATGCCTAGGCGGGTTGTTACACAACCGGAGTACGTATCGCAGGATTACAGGGACCATAGGCCACGTGAGCATTCAACACGGCCAATAGGTCCCTCAGGGGAATTCGTTGAGGTGATGGCACCTCCAGAACGAAGACGTATGGAAGACGGGACGAGAGATTATATCACAAGGCCGACCAGCGTGCGACCAGCAGAGGCTGTTCGGTATGAGGTCGCCCGGGACTACGGCCGAGTGCAGAGCGTGCGACCCGAGCCACCCGTACGTCAATATGCCACAAGCGTCCACCCGGAGAGCCGCCGTGAGGCTGTACAGCCTTACGTACGGGAATACGGTGCCATTGCTGCAGAGCCAGGCGTTGTGAGACAGGAGTACAACACGCGGCCGGTGGAGCGGTACTACAATCAACCGATGAGAGGCGGGGAGGAGATTGCTTTCATTGAGAGACCGCGAGGAGCTACACAGGAGATTGTTTACGCAGATGATGCGAGGAGGGAGGTTTATCGTTAAGCTATGTCAAACCAAAGCGGTATTAAAATAGAAGCGGATCCAGTTGATATCAGACGGTATTACCAATATAATTTAATGACGTAAGAAGGCCATTCTTCCACCCAAGTTGAATAACAACGTTTATCTCTTTAACTACTATCTTTGGACTCAATGCATAGGAATTATAATATCAAGAGGCCGTGGTTCAGAGAAGCGGATCGAGCACTCGTCTGTTCTCCGCAATAATAAACCCCAATTGGCCAAACATTGGTTTGCGTTTCTATGTTGACAATGAAAGTTCATCATGGCCGGCAAGAATCCGCCTGAGCACAACAGAACATAGCTCAACACGGTGAACCCCACCATAAGAGCTGGTTTGAAGGGAACGAGAAGCGAGAAAGTGCTACCAAACGTGTGAAATAAAAATCTATATCCGATATAAGCGCCGATTGTAACAAAATACGGCTGGTCATATGATAGACCGCTTGATCAATAAACAGGACTATATGGTATGGTTCGAAGGAATGAGGTGATAGGCAGGGGTCGTATAGATGTGACCATAGGCTCGTCCCAGGGGTTCATCAAACACCATGAAGATGCTGCTCCAAGTGGTATTAATCATGCTGTCGTGGCAGTCTCTCAAGACTCTGCAGAGTTCACGGACATCTGAGAGGTCGAGTCCCAATTCCTGACCAGTCGGAATATGCAAGGACCCTGAAAGGTCAGTGCAAATGTCACGAGCCTAAGGTACGAATATGAACGTTTGAGACATGGCTGGTGAGTCTGACTATCAGCTCTCACATGTCCTGTCGAGTCAGTTCACAAAAAAAACATATTGGGCTTCGCTTATCAACTGCTACTCAAAGAGGACATTCAGCTAGCCCAACTGCTGAACCATTGGCGGATGTGGTTAGTTAGTCACAGAATATGTAGGTTACTGATATCATGGCTATAAGCTTCAAGGTTGACGGGTGAAAAGAGTGGCGTGGCTCGTGATGACCATGCATTCGACGTAAGCCTCTGGAATTCGAGGAGGCAAGTCAGTGAAGCAATCAACAAAGGGTGCTAGGACACGCATATGCGCGTCTGCCCAGCGATCCAGAATTGTTGCGCCACATCCAAACGGACCCCAAGAATGCCAGCTCCCTTGATAAATGCAGGAGTTCGCGATGTTGCAGTACAGAAGTCGAGACTGTAGATCCTTGTGTCTTTTAGTCTGTGTGCACATTGCCATTCTGCATTCTGCAGTGCCAGCCAAATAAGGTCCCTGAAAGTCTGATATATTCAATGACGAGTTGCTAGTGGCTGAGCCGGTAGCCGGACTCTTGGTGAGAGGCCGGCTTGCATGGGTCAGTCCTCGAATCAGCTCCCTTGTTCGTCCTGGGACAAGTCACACAGACACCAGACGAGGACCTTGTCTTGTGTGGGGACGCCGTGTGATCGAAGCTTGGCCTAACATTAGCAACGAAGCCAAACACAGCTGATGATGGATGCGATGTGTGGTGTGTGTTGGTGTTTTCTCTGGTTACAATCTGTTGTGCTTATGCGGTGGACTGCCTGACCAAATGATCGTCTTGGATCTGGATACTATGATGCAAAAACATGGGCTTTAGCTGCCCTTGACAGTGAACAGACTTGAGTGGTTGGTCATTGGCGGAGGTGACCCATCCTCATGCAGCTGTTGCCCTCTATCCAGGCTCTCTTCGTGTTAGTGTTCGAGACAGCGGTACTTGAGACAGCTTGTGGATTTGGTGATGTGTCGAGTATCCATACTTCAGGTCTTGACTGAGTTTCGCTCCATGGACGACCCGGAGGCTTTGCTATGCTTTGCCGAAGCCCTTGAACATCCCACTAAAGTGTTTGGAACGCAACCGGTTCAGCGTAGCGTTCCGCGGGAGGAGACTGCCTATACCTGTTGGAGTGACCACGATGATACTGTGGTCTGCAGGAGGAGGCTCCTAGCCTGGGCTGATGGTCTCCACTACCCAGAAAACATCCATGCCCTAAGACGCTGTTATTCGAAGGCGATCGAACCGAGGAGCTGAGGGTTGGCAATGGCTGAGTTTTGATGTTGGTTCAGCACATCGTCATTGTGAAGAATGAGCCGTATGATGCTTCGAGTTATGCTTCGAGTTATACTTCTCAGGTGAGAACGGTCGTTGGGGTTCGCAACTTTGACGATCTGCGCAATTGAAACTTCTCTTGGTTCCAGGGCAGTCAGGGATCATCGATGGGTTTAGTGGTTCAGTGTTCACTGTGGCTGTTCTTATCAAAACCCTCGACCATGATTAGAGTGACCACCCATTCCGAGGGGTTTTCGACGCAAAACCTTGTACCATGCGTGGGATGTTTGATATGCAGTTGTATTAGGGCTTCTCTTATTTGAATCCTGGTTTCATTTCAATTCTGATGTTTCGCGTTGTCATTTCTTCTCTTGTATCGTGAAAATTGAGTTCAGATTCCATCTCAGACAGACAGAGACAGGCCTTCAGGTTTAGTCCCAGCGTGCTAGGGCCCTCTTTTAAATCTCCCCCCCAGTTACTTCCCTGGCAAGTTACGGTAGGCGGACCAGGGCACTAAGCAGCTGTACCTGCCGCCTGGCTCGTCACCCACTTTGGCTTGTCTTGTACTCGAGTAGGTACGGACGGTATGGTACGGCACAGAAGGTAGGTACGTCTCTGCTGACTTGACTTGGCCTGACGTTCCTCGCTTTTTACGCCTGGCTCCGCTATACCTCAGTTATCCTCTCCCCTTCCACTTCCCTCACCTCACTTCACCTCAGTCAACCTCCACTCAACCTACCTAACCTAACCTCTCTCTCCCTCCCTCGTCAGACGTGGAAAGAGCTCACAAATACCACCATCTCTCTTTCTTTCCCCTTCCCCTACCCTTACCCCCTTCCCCCATCCTCACGGCCCTTTCTTGACCTCAGCTTCTTCGATACCCATACAGTTTTCGCTTTCTCTTGATCAATCTCGCATCATCTTTGTATTCTCTTCTCTTTGGCTCTTCTCCACCCCCGGCGTCCTCTTCCGTTCAGCCTCCTCCACCTTGGCCGACCGTCGCCGCCCGCCCACGATTCGGACGACGACGACGATACCAACGACGCAACTTTCTCGATCCTCATCATGAATAAGTTGGCAAATATGCGTCACTGGTCGGAAAGAATGGCTCCCAATTTCGTAATGGGCCGTCCTAATATGCCCATGAATGCCCTCAACCATCCCAAGAACGCCGCTCAACCCGGTCAGCCCATGGCTTCCCCTCAAGCCGCCGATGCCACCATTCTCTACTCGTTCAACATCCCATTCGCTTCCGATCTTGCGGGCCCTGATACTGAGGACATTCTTCACGCGACCACTGACGCTGTCCTACGATGGACACACCCCGAGGACGCGCCGGACGACGTCCAGATTCACGAGCTGCCTGTCCATGTTCAGAACCTGAACAACCTCCACAGGATGTGCCAGGAAATTACCAACGGGCCGCTTCCTGTTGAGGCGTATGTCCTGTCGACAATGCTCAAGGGCGGAAAAGGCCAACAGGTTGCTACTGTTTGTCTCTCGGGCTCTCCAGAGCTGGTCCACAAGAGCCGAGAGACTATTTTGAATGATACCCCAATTTCTCTTGTACGTTCCTACACATATGCACCTGGGCTCTCCCGGTACGATTCGAAGCTCTTCTCTAACATTTTTACAGCGCTGCACCACCATTGATATTGATGGTCAACTCGTCTGCGATCTCAATGCCGGAGTGCTCAAGAAGCCTGTTACTGATACCCTCGATTACATCTCCACCTTCTGTGGCGTAGATATCTTTCTTCTTGGCCCTAAATTGACCCCTGTTGTCGACGGTATGACTGGTGATGCTGAATTACGCATGGATCAGCGCTGGAGAGTTGCTATATACGGTGATATACTATCATCCGAGCACGCAAAGGCTCGTGTTCTGATCCACATTGATACTCTGGTACTGTTTCCTGCTTAGTTATATTTATCTGCTGTTCTAACACTTACGCAGCTTGGCCGAATTGTCGATGGTACCAAACTCGAGGCTTCCCTCCACCAGCTTGTCTGTGGCCGACATCGCAAAAACATCAAGCTCATTGAGTCTTCCACTGGAACTGCCATCTACTTCCCACCTCCGTTCTCGGCAATGTACCGCTACTGTCCTCCTAAAGCGACTCGCCGTGACCCCAACGATATTTTTATCACTGGTGAAACACCCCAAGCTATTGAATTAGCAAAGCAGAAACTTCACGAAACTGTCCAGCGCATCAGATTGTACGTTAAAGACGTAACAATTCCTGCTGCCAAGATCGACAGTATTCTGCTGGGTCGTCTAGATAAGGTCCGGAAGATTCTCGAGGCCAATGGCACCTTCATCATGTTCCCTCCCCTGGCTACTCAGCGTAACATGGTCCGAGTTCAAGGAAGCGAAGGTCTTCACGTTGAGCGAACTGTGCGAGAGATCATGTCCTTGGTAAGTAATGTCTGAAATCGAATAGACACCCTGCTAACTTTGGCACAGGCTGGTCAATTCTACAGTGCGGGATGGTTCATTCAGCCCGCTGATGCCAGGCATTTCCCTCACCCCAACGACATCAAGAGTTTGCTCGTTGATATCTGCGCCAACTCCGATGCCGATCTTTCCTTCGATAAACTGAGTTTCACCATCACTGGCTCTGATGACGCTGTCAAGACAGCTCTTCAAGTCATATCAGAGATGAAGTTCATTTCTCAATCTCAGTACCAGATCCGGGTCAAGATTGAGCTTGCCAATGAGCACAAGGAATTCGTCAGTGGCAAAAAGAACGGCAAAATCAACAAGATAATGGGACAGAGCAATGTGCAGATCATTTTCGATGGTTTCAACGAGTACAACTTCAACATCGATGTCATGGCAGCAACTTATGAGTCCATGAAGCAGGGCCTCACTCTTGTGGAGCAAGAAATGCCTGCATCGATTTCGTTCCATGTGCCGGATCAGTACCACAAACGCATCATCGGTATTGGTGGTCAGCACATCCAGCGCATCATGAAGAAGCACTCGGTCTTCGTCAAGTTCTCCAATGCTATGGATAGAGGTCGGAGTCACCGTTGCTACACTATCAGGTATAAGCTTACTAACCTTGATACAGGCGGAATGGGTCGAGAAGACGACGATATCAAAGTTGACAATGTCATCTGCCGCACGCCAGCTCGAAACGCCCAGAATTTGGACGCTGTCAAGAACGAGATCTTGGAGATGGTCGATCGTGCCGTAAGTGTCACCTAATGCCACCGCTCGCTCAATGCTAATAGAATCTATAGGATTCTGAGTACACATCTCAGATTGTCAGCGTTGACCGCCTCTATCATCGTCAGCTTATTGCTAGACTTCCTGAGATCGATGACCTGGAGCAGAAGTACAACTGCAAGATCAACTTCCCCAGCACTGAGCAAGCCAGTGATGAGGTTACGGTTAACGGTCCACAGTGGCAGGTTCCTCACTGTGTCGATGAGTTTCTCGGCATGGTCCCAGATAAGCATGAGCTTGTCCTCGCCAGAACTCCTGAGCTGGTCAAGTTCCTCGAGTCGCCTGAATTTGCTCATGACCTCGTGCCCAAGCTGAAGAGCCAGCATGAGGTTGAACTCAGCGTCAGGCAGAACCCCGACGAGCTCACTGAGAACGGCGAGCCTACGGTCACTCTTCTTTGGGGGTTCACCCGCAACAACGCCGGTGGTCTCCGTGATGCTATGGACTTCATTCAGTCTCAATTCGCAACTTCCGGAGCTGAGATCAATGTTGTTAAGGGCGCTCTCCCTCGCCCTAAATCCGACTCGTTTGAAGATTCCCTGCAGTATTTCGACTCTAAGCTTCTACAGCACGCTCCTGCACCTGTCGCCACTGATTCTCCTATCAAGACTGGCTTTGGCGATGAAGTCGCTCGCGAGCGAAGCAGTATTCTCGACCGTCTCCGAAAGCCTGGCAGTATGACGTCAATTTCATCTTTCTTGGACCGCAGAAAGAACAGCTCTCATTCTGGCAACGGTAACTTTTTCAAGGGTTCAAGCAACGTCTCTAAGTCTTCGCTCATTTCGATCGAATCGACCCGCAGCTTCAACGCCGACCGAAACCCCTGGAACGATAGCGGCGTCAACCTCCCTGACGACGACAATCCTTGGGCTCCTCGAACCTTCGGCACTCACACGGACAACAAATTGTCCATTCCTCAACCTGGCGATGTCACACCTCGCCACAGCACCCGCGCGTCCGGCGACAGCGGGCGCCCTTCCACTTCTCATTCTATGAATTCAGGATACCCCGCCCCTATTGGGCCTTTCCGTTAGATTCCCCCGTGTTAGAACCTCTACATGCAAATACCCCGGCTGGATATACCCTGGCGTAAAAATACCCTGGAACGTCGACTTGTGCATCGGTCGGTTTACGTCTTGCCATGTTTGTTTTACCTGATTTGCGTTTGAGTGCTTTCCTGTTTTTTACTTGCTGTTACTTTTTGCTTTTTCCTGGTCTATATGGAATCGGGGGTTCTCTTTTGATGACTTGACGTCCACTCCTTATACCCAGTCATGTAACGAAAAGCTGAGACCAAAAAAACGAAGAATACCCCTGGTTGCCGGTTGAGATGAAATTTTGGGACATGATGGATGTTTGGCGAGAAAGATACCACTGTCAACGAAAACAATATCAAAAGTCTGTCTTCAGACTTATACACGGAGTCAAAGTTGGGTTTGTTTTGGAAGTCATGTGGTTGGCATGAGCTTTCATGCCGTGGAACTATATGGCACATGAATCACACGCTGTGCCTGGAAGCCTTCGAGAATCGAGGAGGCACAGAGACAAGCATTTCCAGCATGTGGTCATGAAAAGTTGAGAGCATTGCTACTGCCTAGGCAAACCGAGATTGAGAAATGACAATGCAATGATACCTGCGGTTCGGCCGCGATTGCTCGATACACGAATTGTGCTGCATCATGTTAGCCACTATGTGAAGTCTTTGAATGTACATATGATCGTATAAACATGATCCTATGGGCCAGAATAAGCACCGTTGCGCATGTAAAGTAAACTGTTTTAGTCTGATACCCAAGCAGTATATACCTCAGACCAGACAGAGCATTTGTTATCGGTAGCAGGGATTTGTTCATACGTATTTCTCAACCCTGACAACTTATGTAGGTATTCTTTCTTGTATCTTTCCTCTTTGGCTCCAAGTCACTCGGTTCAGTGAGTTCTCTGAGAGTTGCCCAGGAAGAAAAGTGAATTGTAAGCTCTTGTTGTCTGCCATGCAGTCTTCCAAGCTTGTTAATCAGATATCCGGTTAATCATCCCAAATGGCTGCCTTTGCCTTCTCAACATCAGCCTGTCGTTTCTTTGCCTCCTCCTTCTCCTGCTCCCTTCTCTTCTTCTCCTGCTCACGAACACTCCTCTGGTACGCCCTTTGCTCCTCCGTCTGCTTCGGTGCCTTAAGGCCTAGTCCAGCAGCAATCATACGACGAGCCACGGCATCTGTCTTCTCAGGGCGTTTATCCGGGTCTGCTCCGGCGCGAGGGCCGGGACTTCCTGAAGGTGACTCCCATGGTAAGCCACCGACGGGTGACATGGGCGTTGGGGGAGGCGGTGCAGGTGTCGCGGTGGGAGTTGGCTTGTTTGACTCTGACTCGACCTCGGGCTCTGCATCAGAGTCGGAGTCGGAGTCCTCCCATGAGTCTGCGACGACCTTCTTGGCCTTCTTCTTGGGTGCTGGCTTCTTGGACAACACTGAAGGCTCGTCCTTTGTGTCGATTGACAGGTTCTTGAGGGAGCTTGAAACGTCTTGATCTTGTGACATGGCTGAGATCAGTGCACTGAATATGTCTCAATTGTGGAGAGGGGAAGCTTGTCAAGGGTTGAGAGCAGAGAATATGGTTTCCACTGAAGATGATTGTATGATATGGAATAGATAAAGGTTCGAAGACCTTCAGGCTTCAAGTCAATAACAAAGAAATGCAGTTGGAGAAGGAAGCTTGTTAGTCGTTGACAAGCTTGGTTGCGGAGAAGTATAGGGTAATCGCAACTGTCGATCATCAACTTGCAAGTCCGCTCATGACTTACAGTAGGAGTTGTGTTAGTAGGTATGTTTGAAAAAATGACTTGATGTTTATTCTGATACCAATTAGGAAGCTAATTACGTCCAACTGGATACTGGAGATATAAGGAGCAAGCAGGTCATGATACTTGGATCTATTGCAAGGTTTGCCTTTATTTTCTGGGGTACAGCGCAACATGCCTAGTCGAAGCTGTAGGTTACTAAGTATAAGCAGATATACAGTAGCAAAGCTTTGTTGACATGCCCAATAGTATTTCCTTGATATTATATATAGCGTAAAGCTCTGAGTATAACATAATTGAACCGAGTAATGAGTGTTTTTACTATATCTCCTGGTTTATTGACTTTCTTACTAGTTGCCTATCTATGACAGCATGATCTGATGGTGACAGAGATGACAGGTCATGAGGATCAAACTGATACCAAATTGATTAGATGAGAACAACTAGCTAGATATCTTGACCAAATCACAAGAATCAGAGAGGCCTATAGAAGTTGAGAAGGCTTCGGTTGAGGCACGCGAGCAACGGTAGTTGTATCGCAATCTGATAACGGACCAACGCAACAGCCGATAGCGGGGTCTAATTGGTCAGTGGCTGACTAAACTAGCGCGGAACGTCTTGGAATCGAAATTTTGGATGATGTAGTAAAGTCCGAGTTCGCGATTATTAAGTCGCCTCCACCAAAACCAACCAAAACCAAAAGCGAGGGTCAAGCCAAGCGGTGATGCGGACAATTGCGGCCTGCTGCTAGTCTAGTTACATTATCCTTGTCAACTGCTTATGATAGACCATTTCGTCTCCTTTTTACACTTTATTCTTCTTCTTTAATTCTTCATTGTATCAACTAGTCGAGTCTAGTCTACCCTAGTCTACAGCTGCCCATCGCGGGGAGCTTCTACTTCTCGTCTCTCAACCCCTCGGATCCTAGCTCTAGCTCCGTGTTCGCTACAATCGAATCGCATCGCATCACCAATCATGATTCCCCGTTCACGCCTCTCAGGGCGCCTCATTCTTGAGCGCTCTCTCGTCCACGCATCACGAGTATCTTCCGAAGCAACCGCTGCACGATGGGCTTCTGCTCCCGCCTACCGCAACCATCACATCTGCGGTCGTCGGCTTCCCGCCATTCAACCGCGGTTAGTCGCCGCTGCCTTTTCCACATCTGCCCGAGTCACCAAAGAGAAGGACAGCAACGACAAGGGCTTCTTCGAGTCTGCGATAGAGCCATTGACGGAGCCCTTATCCGACGAGGAGGCTAAGGCGAATATCGAGAACAAGCGCAGGGAAGCCGATAGCCCATTACTGGCCGAGTCGAGGAATCCAGGCCCCGATTCACCTGGCTCTGGAAAGAACGATAATGCTGGTCAATCGAATGATGGGAAGGCGGGAAGTGCTGCTGGAGGTGCCGGTTCGGGATCCGGAGGCGACAACTCCGGTGGTGATGGAGGTCGTCGCGGTAGAAAGCCTTCTGCTGAGAAGGCTCTTCAGAAGCCTGTTGTTCCCGAAGTCTACCCTCAAGTCCTAGCGATCCCGATTGCTCGACGACCACTCTTCCCTGGCTTCTACAAGGCTATTACCATTAAGGACCCCGAGGTGGCGAATGCAATCACTGAGTCGATTAAGCGTGGTCAACCATACGTTGGTGCATTCTTGTTCAAGGACGAGAACGAGGATGAGGATGTGATCAGGAACCCCGAGGACGTCTACGATGTTGGTGTCTTCGCCCAAATCACAAGCGCTTTCCCTATTCACGGCCAAGAAGGTGCCTTGACTGCCATCCTCTACCCTCATCGCCGTATCAAGTTATCCAGCCTACTACCACCTGGTGGCCAAGATACTACCAAGAAGACCGATACTAAGGCCGAGCCCACACCTGAACCGATTCCCCAGAAGCCCGCAGAGGAGGAGACTACTCCTGAGAAGAAGGGAGATGTCGTTGCCAGCTTCGAAGAGAGCGCTGTGGAGAAGAAGCCTGACCAGACAGCCGAAAAGTACGAGCCAACATCATTCCTCAAGAGATACCCCGTCAGTCTGGTCAACGTCGAGAACCTTGTCGATGAGCCATACGACCCCAAGAGCCCTGTCATTCGCGCCGTCACCAACGAAATTGTCAACGTTTTCAAGGAAGTCGCCACAATGAACAATCTCTTCCGAGACCAGATCTCCACTTTCTCTATGAGTCAATCAACCGGAAATGTTACATCAGAGCCCGCTAAGCTCGCTGACTTTGCCGCTGCCGTATCTTCAGGCGAGCAAAAGGAGCTGCAAGAGGTGCTTGGTTGCCTTAACGTCGAGGAGAGGATGCAGAAGGCTCTTGTGGTGCTGAAGAAGGAGCTCATGAATGCTCAACTACAGTCCAAGATCAGCAAGGACGTCGAAAATAAGATTAGTAAGAGACAGCGCGAGTACTGGCTTATGGAGCAGATGAAGGGCATCCGCCGTGAGCTTGGCCTTGAATCCGATGGAAAGGACAAACTGGTTGAGAAGTTCAAGGAGAAGGCCAACAGCCTTGCCATGCCTGAGGCAGTTCGCAAGGTCTTCGATGAGGAGCTTAACAAGCTTGCTCATCTTGAGACAGCTGCTTCCGAGTTTAACGTCACAAGGAACTACCTGGACTGGCTCACCCAGATTCCCTGGGGCAGGAGGAGTGCCGAGAACTTCGGCATCCCTAATGCAGTCAAGATTCTGGACGAGGACCACCACGGTCTCAAGGACGTCAAGGACCGCATTCTGGAGTTCATCGCTGTTGGTAAGCTTCGAGGCACTGTCGAGGGCAAGATTCTCTGCTTCGTCGGACCTCCTGGTGTGGGTAAGACAAGTATTGGAAAGTCGATTGCCCGAGCTCTTAACCGTGAGTACTACCGATTCAGTGTCGGTGGTCTCACAGATGTTGCTGAGATCAAGGGTCACCGAAGAACCTATGTTGGTGCCCTTCCTGGTCGTATGATCCAGGCGCTGAAGAAGTGTCAAACTGAGAACCCTCTCATCCTCATCGATGAGATTGACAAAATTGGCCGAGGTTACCAGGGCGATCCCTCTTCTGCTCTGCTGGAATTGCTCGACCCTGAGCAGAACAGCTCTTTCTTGGATCACTACATGGACGTGCCTGTAGATCTGTCCAAGGTCTTGTTCGTGTGCACTGCCAACATGACTGATACTATTCCTCGACCCCTGCTCGACCGCATGGAGCTCATCACACTCTCTGGTTACGTTGCCGACGAGAAGATGGCCATTGCCCAACGATATCTTGCACCCGCTGCCAAGGAGACTGCTGGACTTCAGAACGCTGATGTCAACTTGAGCGAGGAGGCAATTGAGGAGCTCATCAAGTCATACTGCCGTGAGTCTGGTGTGCGAAACCTCAAGAAGCAGATCGAGAAGGTCTACCGAAAGTCCGCCCTCAAGATCGTTCAGGAGCTCGGTGAGGAAGTTTTGCCTGAAGAGGAGGCCCTCACCGAGGAGGGTAAGTCTGCTCTTGAGGAGGCTGAGAAGAAGAGCAAAACCGAGGAGGTTACCGAGGGTAAGGAGTCCACCTCTAACGAAACTGGCGCGACCACGGAGAAACCCCGCAAGCCACTCAACGTCCCTGACTCTGTCCATGTTGTTATCGGCAAGGACAATCTCACTGACTACGTTGGACCTCCTGTCTTCACCTCTGACCGTCTCTACGAGGTCAACCCTCCTGGTGTTTCCATGGGCCTCGCCTGGACACAACTCGGCGGTGCTGCCATGTACATCGAATCTATCCTCCAGGCTCCCCTCCGACCATCTACACGACCTCACCTTGAGATCACCGGTAACCTCAAGAACGTCATGAAGGAATCTACCACCATCGCCTACTCTTTCGCCAAGTCTTTCATGGTTAAGCAATTCCCTGACAACCACTTCTTCGACAAGGCAAAGATGCATCTGCACGTTCCAGATGGTGCCGTCTCCAAGGATGGTCCTTCAGCTGGTATCACAATGGCTACTTCCCTCCTTTCTCTTGCTCTCGATGCCCCCGTTGATCCTACAGTTGCCATGACTGGTGAGATCACACTCACTGGAAAGGTACTACGCATTGGTGGTCTTCGTGAGAAGACTGTTGCTGCTCGACGAGCTGGCTGCAAGACCATCATCTTCCCCAAGGACAACATGTCTGACTGGCTAGAGCTACCTGAGGTATGTTTCCCCATCTTATCCGGTATTTAATTTTCGGTTACTAACGAGTACTTCTAGAACATCAAGGAGGGTCTTGAAGGTCATGCTGTGGCCTGGTACCCTGAGGTCTTTGACCTTGTCTTCCCCAACATTGATAAGGAGAAGGCCAACACGTGCAAGATCTGCGAGTGGAAGGCTCAGCAGAAGAAGAACGACTCCGAGTCAGCTGAAGAGGAGGACTAAAATACCGAACGAGGCATTGATGCATTCTAGCCTTGCAACCATCATCTAGCACCAACCGAAAGAAGGTTGATGTTCATGAACGTTGCAGGGCATGATTTGAAGGGCGTTTGGGCATGGGCGAGAAATTTAGATGAACGATATAAAGACTCCTACTCTTGTTATTCCCAAAATGAGGAAATTGTACTATTAGAAGCATGCATTAGTGGTTTGTTTGGGGTGTCACAAGGCAGCGTGTAGTTGACGCCTTCATGTATAATTGTATGTATAGGAAAGCGACGTCATTCTACTTCACTACCCAGCCCGGGCGCATGATGTTATGATCGCAAGGTGCTGCCTGAGTCAGTGATACTGATCGTTATATCACAGGCATAACAAGAATCTGTTCATAAACTTGGTAAGTGTTTATGATTCCAGCCGCAATGCGTAATGGTAGGTGTGGAAGAACACTGCTTTGGTAGAGTTCGAGGCCTGCGGTGTGGTGACAACCTTGAAGCATAGAGTATGCCAGGAGTTCTGGTAGGGCCTTTTGTCA